AGGTCCTTTTCTGCCAGGCAGCTTTCCAGCCACTCTTCCCCTGATCTTAGCAGGTGAAGGAAGACTGAAATGAGAGGAGAATTGTATGTGATGGAGCAGGGCTGACTGAGCATACTTTGGAAGTGTGGATGCTTCTTCATTTGTTCTTGTTTGATTTTAAGCTAAGGGAAAGGCTTGGAACACCCTTGGGTGAGAGGCCTCCTACTTTGGTACCTGTGTCCCACGTCATGATGTGCATGAACTGTGGCTGTGACTTCACCCTCACTTTGAGGCGACATCATTGCCATGCCTGTGGGAAGGTAAGAGCTGTACAAGCTTCTCAGGGATGCTTTGTTCACACTTCTACTGGCTGCCGCGGCTGTAACTTCTGCAAACTTGTAGCAACATCAAGACCAGAATTTGACTTCTCACAGAATTTGTTAGTGCTTTGCTAAATAAGGTAATTAGGTTCCTCATGACTCCAGTAGGAACAACAGTAACCTTCACTTGAGGGTCAAATGAATCCGCAAAGGCTAGTAGTTGAAGGCTTACAGGGTAATTGTTGCTGAGTCCAGCCACTGTATCTGATATACAGCTAGCTCTAGAGACAGTGAAGCAATATGCTAAAAATATAGGCTCTGTTCTGGACCAGAGCAGTAGCACATCTAGTCCATGCCCTGTCCCTAATAACAGTTGGTAAAATTATTTTCCAAGAAAAGTGAAGAAATGCAGCAGTACAGCGTGGTTTGGTCAGTGACCAAAGGGAAAGCTTCCTCTGTGCTCTGTTGAAGAGCTGCTGCCTTTTGCCCTGAAGCCAAGGGGCTCTATAAGCTTTCTTTGCTTTCGTCCCTTTATCACTGACTCTAGAGATTTGTTTATACACATAAACCTGCAGTCCTGTTTTAAACCATGGCTGTCTTTTAGCCTCAGTGATGGTTTGGGGTTTTTTTTGTATCAAACTACAAGTAATTTTTTCTACTAAGAAAAGCATTTACTTCATTTTTTTTCTACTTCCACAGAGAAAATCAGTCTGTACCTACACAGGGATAGCAGGAACATGCAAGCTTGCATAAGAAGACAATATTACTAACAAAGCTATGAAAACAAAAGTAATATTAAAGTATAAGTTCTTGGGGACATAGGCACAGCAATGGCGTGCAGTCAAATACAGTGACCAGTTCTGCTTGGCTTACAACAGTGTAAATCTACAGCAATCACATCTCAGTCAGTAGACTTACCAACCACCACAGTTTTAGGAGAGAGTCATACCTGGTCCACTATCCATCTTTCTCTCCCAACCAGCTCAGACAATTTGTTTTGTATGTGCATATATATATATAAATTTAAATTATATTTACATGCACCTTTCCTCACTGGAACAGATTGTATGTCGAAATTGTTCAAGAAACAAGTACCCTATGAAGTACCTCAAAGATCAAGCAGCCAAAGTCTGTGATAGCTGCTATGTGGAACTTAAGAAAAGAGGTAAGGTTCCTTCATTCTTGGCAAAACTGACAAGTCCATTTCCTGCCTGTATAATGGCGAGGCTATAGGATCTGCCTACCATGTTGTGTTTTGTTAAAGAGGATTTCTCATTTCAAGTGTGAGGCATAGTTATTGAGGTCTCAGGAGTGCCAGGCTGTATGGCAGCTGAAACTGTTTTAGCAAGCCGGGTTCTCTGAGGGCTCCCCTGGCCTTTTGATAAACCAGAATAACGATAAAAACTATGTCCTGTGAGGAGCAGCTGAGGACTCCGGGTTTGTCTAGTTTGGAGAACAGGAGGCTGAGGGGCGACCTCATTGCTCTCTGCAGCTTTCTGAGGAGGGGAAATGGAGAGGGAGCTGCTGATCTCTTCTCCCTGGGATCCAGTGACAGTTCACAAGGGAATGGTTCAGAGCTTTGTCAGAGGATGTTCAGACTTGACATTAGGAAACATTTCTTTACCCAGAGGGTGGTCAAACACTGGAACAGACTTTCTAGAGAAGTGCTCAATGCCCCAAGCCTGACAGTGTTTAAGAGGCATTTGGACAATGCCCTTAACAACACGCTTTAACTTTTGGGCAGCCCTGAATTGGTCAGGCAGTTGGACCAGATGATCATTGTATAGAATCATAGAATCGTTTAGGTTGGAAAAGACCTTTAAGATCATCCAGTCCAACCATCAACTTGTAGGTCCCTTCCAACTGAACTATTCTATTCTGTGATGTAATTATAGGCGATAGCTCTTCCCTGTCATTTCTTATGAATTATCCATTACAGTAAAACAATGGCTTTACAGTTCCTCACTGTCCTCATCCATGTTGTAGCTTTTACAACAAATGCTGAGGTAAAGTGCAGAGTCACTAAGAGCTTTTCTACATGGGGAGTTAATCTGGTTACAGATGAAAGCGTGAATTCAAAGCAGAAGAGTTACTGCCTAACTAGAGCTCTGTATTATAGTCCTACTATGAGTCCCTTTTCTGATTTAAGTACACATCCAAATCAAAGATAAAAGCAGGGGCAGGGGTTACATATATATGAACAGAGAATGAACAGGAAATAATGTTCTTGCACAACTATTCACGTAGACAATCTCTAAAAGTAGGCATACTATATTGTCAAGGATAAAAAGGTGGGGACAGACGAAGTTTAGTTTTTCCATCCTGATTAAAGAAATTCACGCTAGCCAAGCAAACACATGAACGGATGCTGTCACAACAGCCAAAAAAGCATCTCCAAGCCACTGTGTGTCCAGGAAATTATAACTCAGATTTGTGCGCTAAAACAATGCTGTGCTTTACTAAGATCTTCCAGATAATGTGTTGCCAGAAGTGAGATCATGAAGATACACACTCAGACCACTGGGGTTAATGGAGATTGACAGAGACAGAGTGACTCTCCCCCATGCAGAACTCAAAGAGTTCATACAGAAAGAATGTCCCATTAGTGAATCTATCCTGCAAAGGTGTTACAGAACATAGACGGGATAGATGGAAAAGCCATTTGCTTAATGTTGATTTTAAATTAGAAGAAAACAAGCTATGTTTTGTGCTTTGTCAGCTTTCTTGCCGGCTTCTTTGAAGTAGCTGTAGGTTATTACCATCAACCTAGGGTGCTATGAAATCTACCCATCTAATCAGTCTTAAATGGGGTGGTTTGAAAGAAAAGGTAAAATAAAAACTGGCTATGGAGGAGGTATTGCATTTTCCTTAGTCATTTGCATTAGTGTATTGTGTGTCTCTTACCCCTAGTCTGATATGTACCAATTCATCCATTTCCCCCTCCCCTTTCTGAATTTTCTTAATCTTGCAGAGCGGCCACTAAGTGTGAGCTTCCCTCCAACTTCATCCAGGTGTTCAAGCAGTGCCTTCTCCTCTGTATTCCACAATATTCATTATTCATCTTTTAAGAAACAGAAGAAGATCCCTTCAGCTCTTATGGAGGTAGGACCAAGCTGCCCAAGAAAGGCAAGGAACTGTAGAGAACTGTGTGCTCATACTTCAGCAGCTATGTTTATAATTTATGCTGTGTGCAGTGGGCTCAGCCCATGTCCTGGTCTACTTTCATCATGCAATTTTTTTTTTTCTGTTTTTCACAATAGTGCTTAAAATTCAAAATACTCTGAGCTCTGACGATACCACAGAAGCTTCTTGAGCCCACTGAGAAACCCAATCAGAGCAGCATACTTTAATTTGCTCATCAGCCTGTGAGGTCTTTAGAAAACTAAGATGACTTCAAGGTATTAGACAGTACAACAAGGCAGATCACAGACAATGACAAGTATCAACAGAGCATGATATACTGTTGACAAGTTACCTTTGTTGACAAGACCCTTACACCTGAAATCTTACTTTGATTTCAAGAGAAATAAAATACCACTTACTTAGGGAATAGCTCTAGTCCTTGGCAATCAATTCAGAGGCATACAGGTTTAATCAGGCACTTTTTCTCCAGCTCAAATCAAACTATTTCAAATCAAATGGTTAAAATCTTGATCCCACCAATGTAAACAAATAAAATTCCCACCAATTTCTATGGGCCCAGGATGTCTCCAGCTGTATTAGTTTCTTTCCAGCAACAAGGTGCCAATCATGTTGATGTAGTCTAGGTAGCTAAGTTACCTGTTGAACTCAAGCACAGTAAGGTACTCCCATTTCACTGAAATCAACAGGTATTTATCGTTGTATTGAAGACAATAGGGCACAAACATCTTGCTGAACTCATTGTACAGTCGAGACACTGGAAATTCTTGAGGTTTGTTTGTGCTGAGATGAAACTGAGCCAAAGACACGAGCATGTAATACAAACACACAAATTGAATACTGAAAGAACCAGCAGGCAAAATGTTAGCCCCATTACGAAAAAAGCATTGCTTTTCTATCCACAAGGAGGCAGCACATGTTTATTAATATGAACTGTCTCACAATAGGATTGCTCCATAACTTTTTCTAACTTGCTTTACCCAGCTCCTCGAACATTTCTGTTCTGCTGCAAAACACTGCTCTACTACTGCTCAGTCTTCTCTTGTGTCAGTGCTACAAAATCTGGTTTTGAATCTCTGCCCTTTGTTTCTAAATCCAATAATAATGCAGTTTACTACTGCTAACTAATAATGTATACTGCATTGTGTATGTGTGTATAGTTCCATCTACTCAAAATCTGGATCTTTAAGAACATTAAGCACTTAGATCTCAAAATACTTCTGTGAGAGGGGTGACTCTTCTCAGAAATATTATTTCACAAGTGAAACCAAGTCATAGTCAAGTGATTAACATAAATTGATATAAATTGATATAAAACCATTGCAAAGTCCTAAATATACCCGCATCTTAGAAATGTTCAGTCACAAGACTGTAATTCACCTTTGGAAGCATGTCCTTTTAATACACAAAAAACCCAGACCTGGGAGGAGGGACAAGTTTGGCTTCTCAGAACACAACTGTAAACTTGCTGACCTCAATAAATAACTCAACTACATATTTTCCATCAGTTACTGAGAACTAAGTTTAATCAGAAATCTTCAAACAGTTAAAAAGAACCATAATACCATGCTTATATTTTTGCTGTCTCGATATTTTTAATGGTGTACTTATGATTTCACGGACATAGACCTGATTGTCTGGTGTGATGCAAACATGCATAATCAGGAGGGGAAAAGCCTTTGCTGTTACAAATCCTGCTCTCTCCTACCCTGCTCCAGGTGGCAGCCTCAGGAGAGGGAGCTACCATCAGTGGTTACCTCAGCAGATGTAAGAGAGGCAAAAGACACTGGAAGAAACGCTGGTTTGTTATCAAAGGCAAAGTCCTCTACACCTACATAGCAAACGAGGTACTGTGCAATCTGACTTGAAATAGTTTCCTGTCCAAGTTCCCTTCCTTACTCCCTACGGGCAGCACAAGTAAATGTGAAAGGTATAAATGGCAGTTTTCACAACTATCTGCCTTCTGAGAGCTGGTCCTAACAGACTCAGTCCCCAGGGAGCTGCCCCTAGCTGAGGGGCGCACCCACAGCCCTCTTCATGAACTGCCCTTCGTTATTTGACTTCTTGCCATTCATGCTATTATATACCGTCAACCACTGTGAACCTTAGTCTACGTATTTACACCTAAAGACTTCTAGGTCCTTAGGCATTCTCTGGTGCACTTGGCAACTGCCAGATATTTTGTAGACAGATGGTGCTATGATCCAGTTCTGATGGGGAGGAGAAACTTGCAGTTCTGCAAGTATAAATAGAATGTATTTGTCCTACTAGTACCAACAGGGAAAGACAGGAAGCAGTCTGCAGAGGTGAGACTACTGCCTTGTGTACTGGCCTGTAAGCTCCTCCTCACAGCCAAGGAGGCTGGATGTCAACTAGATCATTCTTATGTATTTTGTCTCTTCCCAGTCCCTTTTCTTATTTTAATTTCTTCTCCTTTGTGAATAGCTGCAATACAAATAAACTTGAAGTAAGTGTGATATGAAGTTTGGTTATAACTGACAGATTTCACGAGCAGAAGCATAAAAATTCATTTTGCTTAACAAAGGACACAATGCAAGAACTGTAGTAACAGCAATATTTGGTACTTAAGCCTTCAGAACGCTTTGCAGACATCAATCATTTAAACTTCCATCACCACTGTGATGGTTGCATGAAGCAACATTATCCCCTTTAAACAGATGAGGAGATTGAGGCACAAAAAAGTTAATGATTTGGCCAGCAATTCAGACCATTAGCATCAAATTCTGTATCCAATACATCTACCTTACCCCTGCTAACCTTAAAAGCGATCATTTCTGGTGCAACAATAGGCAAAAAGCAACGGATACACTTTGCATTCCCAGTTTGCCATTTAGCTTCTAAAAGCAGAGGCAAAAGTAACACAGACACGTAGAAAACATTACCTAAATACAGTGACCAAAACTGCAGCTATCAGTAACAGCTAAACTGCAATTCAATTAAGGCTTATTGTTTTCTTTAACTGGTACAAAGCAGTGTCTGGCAAGCAAAGTTCATGGATGTTTCTTGGGAGTAAATTAACAATTAATTGCATTACCAGCTCAGAAATTTCAAAGCAGCATTTTGGATACCAAGTGTGCTGTTTGAGACAGTGCAGATTTCTAAAAAAATTGCTAGTACTACAAAAGGAGATGACAAGGTACCAAAAAAGACCATTACTTGCACTTGGCAAATAAAAATGGTTGAAAGGGACATAACTGGGAGTGGGTCTCAGGCTTTCAGAACTGCTGCTGTACTGTCTGATATTCTCAGTAACCTCTAGCTTGCCTCCTGGACCATTATGTAAAAAACAGCCATTAAAGTAATGGCTAATTTGACCTTCATGACCATGTGCATGATCATGAAGAACTGGACTTTCAGAGGTGGTGTTTGAGTTCAGGACTAAGACTAGATAGACATGTACAGTACACAGGCACTGCTCCTGTTAAGAATCATAGAATCATAGAATGCTTTGGGTTGGAAGGGACCTTGAGAGATCATCGAGCCCAACCCCCCTGCAGTAAGCAGGGATTGAACCTGTGAACTTGGCGTTATTAGCACCATGCTCTAACCAACTGAGCTAACCCACCAGTCCAGCAGAAGATTCACACGACTGCTTCTGCAGCCCTGTCAGAGAGGGGTTATGTCATCACTTGGTTTTCAGAAAGAGCCCTCAAACCGTTACAAGCCTTCTCTCTAAATTTTCGTTCACTTTTTACTTGCTTTCAGGACAAAGTTGCCACAGAAAGTTTGCCTTTGTTGGGCTTCACCATTACCCCAGAAAAAGAGGAAGGAACTATGGACACAGTTTTCCATCTCTACCACAAGCAGACTCTCTTCTATAGCTTCCGAGCAGAGGATAACAATTCAGCACAGAGGTATGGGGGTAGACTTCCACACTAGCCAGTGCACAGGTCCAAAAGCTTATGTAGGGCTTTTCCCTCTCCTTCACTTCAGAATGCCTTCGTAACAGAGGAAACAAACAGCTTTCAGAGTGTTGATTAAGCCCAATTGCATGTGACTGGCCTGGGTGGCATTAAAAATCTACCTGGTGCTTTTCAGTTCCTTCAGGAAGGAGAATTTGCTCCCTTGTATAGGTAAAGAGGAGGCTGAGTCTCAAAAGTCATGCCTAGAAGTCTGTCAAATGTGATTACTATACAGAAACTTCTCTGATTTCTGTGTTCTGTTTATCCATCTCTCAGTTTCCTCATCAACAAATAATTGTTTAGATTTCCCATTCTAATGCTACTGCTTCCACATAACAAAATAGTCATGAAATTAGTAATAAAAAGGCCAGCACCTCAAGACACACAGGGAAGGAAATGAGTGTTTATGGGAGGTTTTGTTGCTTTTAAACATACTTCAGTGGTTTAATATTTCCTATTCTAAGACAGCACTTGTACTATTTTTGAGATTTTACAATAAATTACTGGTAAAGTTTGTACTAGAAGCAAGAGTCCTAGTACTCAGTTCCCTGCTTTAATCACAAAACTATAGTTCCTCATTAGAGCTGAGATGGGAAATACAGTCCTCTTCAGGCTTTACATTCTTAAAATACTTATTAAAATACATATGTTCTTAAAATGCATGTAATTTTATATGTACCACTTTTTCTTTCCTGCCCTTTTTAGGTGGATTGAAGCCATGGAAGAAGCATCTATATTATAGCACCTATCACTCAATGGACTTGGAATAAATTCTCAGATTTCTATACATTCCCAGCAACCCTCTCCTGTCTTACAAAATTGAACAGTGTATTTCAGGCAAACTGGCTACATACACTGGATATGAACTGTTTCCAAATTGCTCTTTTTGCTTCCTTCTTCTTACATCCACATTTTTGCAAATGGAAACTTTAAAATAGAGAATATTTATGGTGATCTTTATGTCTGTGCAAGTTCAACCCGTACTATAAGCTTCTCCTCTGATTCCACAGTAAAGTAAGTCTAACATCAAGACAAGAAAATACATGGAAATACTGACTACAGTGAGTAACAGGCTCAGTTTTACTTACTCTAAGCACTATCATATTTCATTGGGCTGGTTTTGATGTCTACCATGAAATGAGAAACAATGTAGTAAACAACAAATGCTCATTTAAAGCACTTTATTATTTTTATTGAACTACAGCTTCATTTTTTCATGTTTCTAAGGAGTTCTGTGGCCCAATTTATTACTCATCCATTAACAAGTGCCAGCATGAAATTATGCCCCGTGCATGCTAAATTGCTTCCACAGAAAATGAACGAACACCACATTCAATTTACCTGGTCTACCAACACTTCACTGGCTATGATCCAGGATAATTACTTACTATCCATTTATAATTTTACACCGATAACTGTCTAATTTATTTTAAAGGGTTTAATTTCATACCACTGCAGTACTTTGAAATGCACTCCAGTAGCTCCACAGCTCCGGACATTGAATAATTTCACTTCTCCCTAAATACTGCATCAGACTCAAACCCAAAGGTTATTTTTAATTTATTATAAACCTACAGACAGTTTTTATTTAACACTAGTCTACCTAGTAGTGTTAAGATTTTTATCATCTATTTAAATAGTCTGTTTTCAAAGCTCCTGTTGTTTCTGCTGTTCTTGTTATGAAAAGTGTCATCAAAAGTTTAATCCATTTAACCAGCACACCATTTGAAATATGCTGGTGGGCTGAAATGCACTTGTCTGAACCTGTTCTGCTGGAGTGCTCTGGACCTCCTGTAGCTAAATGTATCTTACATCAGACTGCTGTTGTGCACTACATCTCCAGGGCTGGATTCTCACCAGCCAAGTGTCTGCATGACTTCAAAGATGCTGTGCTGCTTTACACCAGCTGAGGATATAGATCTCTGGAGTTTGGGGGGTTGTTTTTTCGTTGTTTTGTTTTTTGTGTTTTGGGGTTGGTTTTTTTTGTTTTTAATGTTTTGTTGTTTCTTTTAATAAAGAAGGTTGAGAGGTGGTGTTCTAATCATTGCAATAAAATGGTTTCATGTCCTATATTTGTCATAATATTTGACTGAGGAATAGAATGGCATTTATGATTAAAATATAGCTTTGTATAAAAATACCATGTTCAAGAATTTACTTACATAGAATATATGGGGGGGGGGGGAATTATTGCTTTCATTTTTCCCCTTTCTTCAAGAAGTTTAATGGATATCTGAATTCTTGACCCTAACAACTGTTAGAATTGTCCCTATTTTTAAAGGCCTATAATATGTATCCAAATGATAAAGGTAGTTCAATTTATCACCTGGAAAAACAAGCTTAAAAAAAACCCAAATACACATCTATCACTAAATAAAAATATAGTTGTTTTGGTTTTTTTGATACATCTGAGTCTTTAGTTTATGGATGAATACCAATGTTAACTCTTTTATTTCATGTCAGAATCATGGCCTTGCTACCAGTACACTGTAAATGTTTATCCCCCCTTAAAAACATTTTGCACTGACAAAAAAATAAGAGAATGTTGAATACAGAGTAAGGTCTCTAACCATGGTCCCAAACAAAACAAAACTGCACTACAGAACAACATTATTATGAAGATTTAGGTGCTGACATTTAGTGACTGTTGTATGAAGTTTTCAGTTATAAGCAGGAAATGAATACATGAAAATATTTTGTTGTAAAAAATAAGATAAAGTGCTATTAAACATTGTTTTAAGTAATGTGGAAAAATAAAAGAGCAAAACATAACTGCAGTTCTACAGGCTGTTCCTTTACCTAATTTTTACGTTCTTTAATTCCAGCTTTGCAGTTCCATTTACTGTTAACAGGCACTTACCTGTTAACCAATTCGCTGACAAACTACGGAAAAGCATCAAATCAGAAGATGGCAGTGGAGGCCTTCTGGTAGAAACAGGATTTAGACCTAATTGCTGTGATCAAATGTTTCAGTCCACACTGCATTTACCTCCTGTAAAGCCCACCTACGAGTCAACTCTACTTCAGTTACAGATACAAATGGTCTCAACAGAGCACAAAAAAAGGGGGGAGGGGGGCAGAAAATGTCCTCACAGTTTCAGTCCAATTGTTAATCTAATTTGAGCAAAGCTAAGCACCAGAGACAGAAATTATCTTCATTTCAGAGTTAATCCAGTAATCACCTTTGAGAAAATTTTAACATCTTAGAAGAGGTATGTACTCAGTTTACTACATGCCATTTATTTACAAACAGCTCTTTCTTACTAACTGGTAGCTAGTATTACTCCTTCAAAACAAAGATTTTGTTCCACACCTTCACAAATGTTTCAAAAAAAAATTCAGTAATAAGTCACAATGTACTAGCTACTCAGTCAATAGCTCAGATGCAAGCTGATCTCATTTGTTGTTTCAGTGTTTTTCTGCTTATTTTGCTACTTACTGAAAAGCATTAAAATTATTAGCCATTATCTGCAACTAATATTTACATCTATCTTACAGTATATGCCTAGTTAAAATCTGTTTTTTAAACAGTTATTAAATTATTTTCCAAATCAAAGTACAAGTTATTCAGAGTTGGAGAGTATTCAGACATGACAAGATCCCACACCATTTCATAAGCACTGCTGCCTAGCCCTGGGAGTACTACCTTTCCTGAGCAGATTCTGTGTTGCTTTTACAATTGATGAAAAACACACAGCTATGAATACCAACCAAGCTTTTCCTGTTTGCATGCTACTTTGGTACAAAAGCAATAAAGACTACGTTGGCTGTAATCATGTTCAGTGAATATCACTGCTTGTGAAGGTAAAAAAGTGCCAGTACTCAGCCAGAGGAAAAGGTATTCCCTTGTCACTTTGTGAACCTCCTACAGGCTACACTTAAAACACTAGTCTAACTTCACAAGTTACTTGGGAACATAACACACAAACTGCTACGTATGAAAACCAGTGAGATCCTTCAGTCTGGATAACACTGAGACACCACTTTTGATCAAGTTCTGACAATAAAGTTTCTGGACTCCAGGTCAGGTTTACAACCCCTTTCAGAGACCTTCAAGTAAAATAATTTTTAAAATTGATCTTTCCTAAAAGAACTGTTTCACAAATATTCTGAATGTCTTCCTTTTGCACAGAAAAACAACAAACACCAGGAAACCTTTAAAGCGCTCATGAAACAGCACTGTCATTCTTTGCCATGTTTTCTTTATATTATTAATTACTAAATGACAAGGTTTTTACATTCTTCTCATTATTTTAATAGCTTTTTTCCCCCAGAGAAGTGTTGCAGTTTGTTTCTAATCTGTATGCTTTGGAAGGGCATGGAATACATTTTACATAAATGTGCTCTGATTGTTTTCATCTTTTTACTTGTAGTACTACATTTTTATGTCCTTTCCTCGCTCCTCTAAGTTAAAAGGAACTGGAGGACAGTTTAAACTGCCTAGTAGCTGTCTATATTTTTATTTAATATACTATATGCCACGTTATTAACTGTAGTACTTGCCAGCAGACAAATGTAATCTTAAAGAAAACACCACAGGAACTGGAATTACTTTCCATCCATACTGACAGTTCTTAGAGAGCAGTCAGGTCCTGGAGTATATCATATTGAGAGGTCACTCAGGGTGAATTTTGGGGCAGGGTTAGGATTTTGCACTGCTCTTGCTTTTCACAGTCTTCAGTGTATAGCAGTTGCATATTGTTCTTAAAATTGCTTTTTACAAACATTAATGAATATTTGCATCGTGAGCGCAAGGAATCACTTTCCCTCTTTCCAGAATAAAACAGCATGTCATTAGCTAAATAACTGCATTTCCAAATATAACCAGTAAAACTATTCAGAACTGAGGTTGAATGAGATTTTTCTGCAGTTGACAAAGCCTAGAACAGACAGCAAGCTCACTTTTTCTAAGAGACAACTACGGAGAAACAAGGGCAAAAACCCCACAAGATGGAGGTCACTAGCTTCCCTCAGCACTGCCCAGCTACGCACAAACTTGAACGCAAGGCACAAGGACTTCCACTTGAAAAATCATCTACTAACACTTGGAGATTTAAATTGAATGTGACATAACAAGACCAAACAGTGTATACTGTTAAACCTTCTCAGTCACTTCTAACTGTTGAATTTTTCCATGCTAGATATCAGCTTTGCTCTTAAAATTTACTTCAAAAGTTTCAGGAAAATTCTATGAAAATTTTAAGCACCTGAAATGACAACTTAAAAAAACCCAAAACCCAACCCCAAAACCACCCAGAGCTCTACAACACTGTCAATCCCAAACATTTAAAACACATTCATTACCTTAAATCCTGCTTTTATTCTGTACTTCTTGGCCTGCCCTGATTTTTGACCCCCCCTTAGTTCATTATGTACTTTTACTGCCAACACCACCACCGCAACCGGAGGGCGGGCTTTTGGCCTACGCCAGAGGTACTCTTACAGCCCACCTTTGTATTGCAGTGGTTCTCTTTCCACATCTAAAACATCCTTCCCTCCCTGTAAGTGTGCACTTCTCCCATCTCACCTCTGGTCTGCGGTGAATTCAGTCTGCTCTCCTGGGCAAGGAGCAACTTCCATGGGGTCTCTTCCCTCCTCCTCTTGTACGGCAGCTTTGCAGAGCATTTTTTCTTCTGAGGCAACTATCCCACAAAAGGGAGGAGCTGAAAGGTCCTTGTTATCAGCAGAAGAGTTTGAAAATGACCACCACTAAAATCCTTTCTGAAATATGGCTAGGAAAAG